GGATTATGACCTGACCAAGACAAACTGTGTTTAACATCTGATGGCTGATCCACATCACCACTTCTTGCAGCAGCATTCCCTAGTCCCTGCCAGACAATCATTACATGCTTTTGTTAGATTTCTATATATGCTCTTTTCTGTAAATTTAAAGAGGACCTTCCCTTCCAGTAAATTATAGTTTTCTTTTGGCTTTCAGGCCAGTCTGCAGCTCATTTCTTCATGCAGTCCGAATTGCTTGTGTTTGGCTTTTCCGAGACGCTGACTGTGGAGAAGGTTAAGCAGTTTAGTGGTTGAGTCACTGGTACAAAAACAAACCTACAGATTTCTGGTCCAGAACACCAAAACAACACACTATAGAGAAACAGCCCAGCTGGAGCCAAGTATACGTGCTATCGCATTACACACCCCCGGTGTTTATTTACAAAGCAAGCCAAGTCCGACTGCCATCCCTCCTTAAACGTGTACTTTTCATGCCCAGAAATTGTCCCTGGATCAAGTTTCTGATGGGAGGAGGGTGTAAAGCAAGCCATGTGTGCAGGACCTGCAGTCAGCAGGCTTCTCCAGCACATCTTCCAAGAGGTGAAACGCCGATGTCAAGGGCTTGACCACAGCTGCTGTGGGCCCTGAGATACCTGAGACAACGGTGGGTTTTCAGCACCTCTGTCACAGGCAGAGTGGGAGCTTCAGACAAAGTTTATTAGATAAAGTGTACTATTAGAGAAGCCCTCCCATTGAGTTACGAAGTGGGGAAAGAACCCCATTGCTTTCTAAACTCCTTCTCAGAGAGGAGCTTACATGCACCTGGATCCAGTCTTAGCCCTAGACTTTTCAGTGGTTTATATCTACCTTTATACAACTTTGTCCTGCAGGATTAAGGATGGCAAACCAAATATATTTATATAAATAAAAGGAGTGATTTATTGAAATGGGTTACAATAATGATAATGATAGAAAAAAAGGAGTTTTGTCAGAATTACTTACTGCACAATATGGATGGATAGCTATAACTATTAGTATAGCACACTATTTTTCAAGCAATATTGAAGTAATTGTAATAAAATAATTGAAGTAATTATATTAAAACTAGCAAAACAATTACTAAGTAGAGGTTGGTGTTACTCACTCATAGCAATGACCAGGGGCAAATCTCTTTTGCTCAGTCTCGAGGACTAACCTTGAGGAGCGTTCTCACTCAAGGCAGAAATCTCCACACACATTCGGAGAAGGGGTTTGTTAGGAGACCCTACTGTTAAAAAGTCTGGGCTTTTATAGTATAGAGTGATTGACTGTCAGTCATATGTAATTTTTTTGGATTATATGTTGTCACCTTGCTCAGCAAAATATGTTTTGTTGCTGACAAAGGTGTTAGCCACTCATTAGTTTCTTCTGCTTGACACTCCTGACTCTCAGTTTCGTATCAGGGCCTGCACATCCTTGCTTCTCCCAGCCTCAGTCAGGGAGCTTCTGTCTTGCATGTCCTTGTGGTGGGGTCTGATAGTTTGGTCAAGCTGGTATGAGCACTCTTCAACACTAAAACCAGCAGACCTTCCTCAGTTGAGCTTATCAATGATCAGGTGACTCTCTTTGCTGAGGTCGTCACTGATAAACTTTTAAGACAAATTTTGAGCTGCTGTATTTCCACTTAGACAGAGCGTGCTGCTCCAACCTGTGCTGTGCTTTTCCTCCCAGAGGGTACCCCCATCATCCCTCCTGGGGGACATCAGTGGTCACTATAGAAGAAAACACCTTTCCAGGGACTTTGCAACTTCACACAACTGCCCTGCACTCCATGGTCCACAGGGCACAGCACTGCTTTAAACAGGGTCAGCACCCCCTGAATTCCATGGGAGCACTTCCAAGTTTTGAACTGGAATGGTCCCAGGACTGTGAAGACTACCAAGGGGAGGAAAGTGGTGGCATAAATGGCCCAAAGAGGAGAATTTTCTCTAAAGGCTGGGGAACTTGATATTAGTACCTGGAGTTGCATACTGAAGCCTCTGCTAGCTTTTTACAGTTTTTGTGAAACTATAAAGTGTAAACGTCCCTGACCTCCAGAAGAAGAGAGAGTTTAATTCTACTTCAGCAGGGCACAAGTCACAATGCAAGGCAGGTGAAAGTCCTTAATTTTCTAAAAACAATTCTGTGTCCTTTAAGAGGGGAAACAGCATGAACATTAATAACCATTTCCCAAAACCCCACCAACATTGATTTGCACCGTTTGTGCAAGGGGTCAAAGCCCTCTAACCTATGGCTCCAGGGCAGCAGATTACAGCATCTGGAAAACAGGAAACCAAGGGAAGTTGTAACTGCTGGTCATCTTTTTAGAGGCTAATATTGGGATAATGTTAACTTCTCCCCTTTAATTTTTTTTTCATTTTTTTGATTGTTCACCACTGCATGGTGTTTCTGGCTTATCAGAAACTATTTGCCAGCAGTTGCCTTACCAGAAATATTTACCAGACAAACTTGTTGCATCACCCTCCAAAACTGCCTCTTGCCACCTCTGAGCATCACTGCCCCATCAGCTACTCCCATGCCATTTGCAGTCATCTCTCATATTAATCAAAACTGGTCTGTGTTTAGTTAAGCTGACCTGCAATTTCCAGCACTTCATAGCAAAGTGCCAGAGAAATACTGAAAACTTCTGGAGCAAATCCTCCCTCTCTTTCGAGGCGGCTAATAGAAGTGGTCTTTGACAATCTCTGTGCACTTGCGTGGGAAAAACACGTCCCTGTCAGCATCTAAAAATGATGACCCCAAGCCTCTGACAGGTGAGCCTACAGCATGCCAGGTCTGGGCTCTCAATCATGTTAATTTTCTTGATTATGTCTGTTGTGTTAAGCAATACTATGAAACTACACAAAATATTCGACACAGAACTAAGAAAATTAGCCCCAGTCACTTCATATGCATAAAAAGGCTACTGGGGCATGAGATAATCCTGGGCTGGTTTAGCTGGAAATCTGGAACTGCTTTCCCTGCTAAAATGAGCCTGGAGACAAAAAGGTGCTCAGGAGAGAATATAGGTCCCACACCACATTTATAAATCTACTGCCATGCAGATAATCTTCCCAAAAACAACTGGGCTTGACAAAAATGTTGCATCCATCCATTTTATCTCAGCTACCTCGTAACACAGATGTGAAATGAGCTAGGTTACAACTGTTGACAATAACATACCAACCTAAACCATAATACTCTCAGCTTTTGCTCTCCTTTCTTAAGGCAGTTTGGTGTCTTGACTCCAACCCACTGATTCTTGGTAGGGCTTTGGGGGGCTTTTTCCTTATGTCATTTCACCTGAGGAAATGCTCTGTGGAGTAGCTTTTAACCTGTATTTCACACCACAGCTGTCTCATGGGTGTGGTTTTGGGGTTTTTGATTTGGTTTGGTTTGGGGAGGGTTGTTGTTTGTTTGTTTGCTTTTTGTTTGGGGTTTTTTTTTCCTAGACTGTTGGCTGGACTTGGCTTGAAAAGGAAAATTTTTTTTGCTATCTTGTGAAAACAGGATGGTTACTGAGAAGGTAATATATGCAATTTCTCAGCCTGGAGAGGTGTTCTGTCTTGGTTGCCAGCCCTCACCTGTGTAGGTGACTCTTTTTCATATCAGCTTTACGTTTGGTTTAACAGGTTTGGCAAAGGCCCGTTGGCTGCTGATGGAGCAGGTGTAAAACAAGCAAACAAAAATCAAAGCAGAGGTTTGAACTGAACTTGTGTGAGATTTGCTGGAAGAAGTAAAAGTACATCTTCCCAAATATGCAACCTATAAAATCCATAAAATGCAATAGAGGACTAAAGAATTCCTATGCTAAAATACCTATTAAAAAGTTCCTTTACAGAAGGAAGCAGTGCTTTTCAGATATGACAACTTGCAGCAAACTTTTATTTTCAATCCAAATAGACCAGAAATGTCAGTGTAACAATGCAACTGTCTTTATTTTTTATTTCCTCTCCAAGCAGCAAGGAATTTGGCATTCTGATTGCAAATGCCCTTAAGTCAACCCTTAGTGTGCCACATCCAGTGGTGGTTGGGTAGGTAATGGCACCTGAAGTCCGTGACAGTTTATTTTTCCCTGAGGTTTCCATCCCCGGGATCTGAAAACTCCACTGATGAAATTGAATTTTTCAAGGGGAAATGCAGGATGAGCCCTTGTGGAAGACTCACATGCAGGGTAGGATGTTTCAGCAGCAGCAGCCCCTGAACTGTGAAGTACCACGTTCAGCTGGCAAATGGAGATTTTTGCAAGCACTGAAACCAGAGCTTGGGAAGTGTAGGTCTTGCTTAGGCCTGCAGGCAGTTAGAGAAACAACTTGTGTGCTCAGCAGGACGCTTTCTCCTAAGATCTGGACAGGTACATGCCGTCAGCACTGGCTGGTGATGTCCAGTGTATCTCTCTGTCACTGATGGGGACACCTGCTGCCAGACTACATCAGCAGCCAGGGTCTAGGAGCTGCTGCTGGCTCCTTGTTCCCTCTGCAGACAATTCGGTTTTAGAGTGGGAAAGGTAAATGGTGATGGTGATGATGATAGTGATGGTAGTGATCATGGTGGTGATGCGCTCCCCAGCAGTTGTTTTATGTCTTTACCTCACAGGTAAAGACATATTTTGCAGGCTAAATGTTGAACACAGCAGTTTACACAGCTATATTCTCAAAGAAAATATTTTTCTTTGGGTGTGTGCACAATCTGCTGCTCTTTCAATCCTCAAACTACTGAAATCAGGACATTTTCACCAAAACATTCAGCTGAGTCTTTCCTGAGGAACAGAAGCCCTCACACCCCAAGCACTGCCCGTTTCCTTTTACCATACGACACACACTGCCCCAAGAACTACAAAGCTTATGCCTTTAGCATTTTTCCCCCAAAATCAAAAACTACAGTGTGATGAAAAGAACGAGTGCTTCTGACTGATCAAACCAAGAATTTTATTTCCACCTGTTAAAAGAAGTCTCTGTCTACCAGCAAAGTCCAACATAGATGAGCAGACAAACTTGACTATATTTAAATGAATTAATAGTTTATTTATAATTAAACTCATGAAAAATGGAACCGTATACAACAAGAACTATGTACATGAAGAAAAAAGTCTTTCTGCCACCTATCCCCCAAAATCCATCTGAGTCTGTCCTGAGAAACAGAAGTACTCAGAAATAAATGGGGTGATAGTCTCTGGGAGGGAGTTCTGTTCTGCAGGCTGGGCAAGCCCTGGAAGTCTCAAGGGCAACAGCGATGCACCGACTGCAGAAGAGATGGCCACACTGGGTTGACACAACGTGTCGGTCACTTCGTATAATCTGGAAGAAAGGAAACCACAACATGTGTTGGGAGGCAAGGATTCGAGTTTGCTGCTCTACTGGCACCAGGAAAATAGGACTTGGAATATCTGGAATCAGTCCATTACTAGAATAAGGAACCCCCAGATCTGCCAGGGCCATCTTGGCAAGGGTTTCTCCCTCTACATGCACCGCCAAGAAGTGACTTGTGGAACTTCACAACAAGGTCTGTGCTTCAAGCCAGCTGCCCATAGCACCCCACAACAGTCAGCAAATAAACATTGCACAGCTGCCCCTCTGCCCCGTTACCCCTCCCACAAAGCTGAAAGGATGACAACATGTGGATCCTTACCCGTGAATAATAATCCATGCAAATCGGGCACCTTACTGCTGGTTGCCATTCCCTAGAGAGAACAGACCCAGAAAGAGCAGCCATTAATACCACTGGTCATCGAGGGTTACTCATATATAAAATGTCACATAATCATCTGACTGCACTGAGTAGCCACGATGCATTTCTTTTGAAGAACCCTGCATGTCTTTAACTCTCTCAGTTTGCTGCATGTAATGAAGAGTTCAGATCTCCCTGTCCTAAAGGAAACAGTGTCTTGGTTTTCACTGGGAGAAAGATGAAGTCAGCCACCCTGCTCTAGGATTTGAAGTAACAGCAGTCTCTAGCACTGGGAAGTCTATATATGGCAGCATTTATCTCCAACAGGTCATCAATAACAGCTTTGCAACCAAAGCATCAAGCTGTCCTCTGGAAAGTGTTCATTCTAGAATGGAATGAGGTCTGACACTACAGAGTAACACTGCAGATGGCTCTGGCAAGCTCCAGCCTCAGGAAGAACCCTCTGGTCAATGTTCTGTAGCTCTGAGCTCTTCCAGCAGGAAGGCACATTCTGTAACAGAGAAGCTTGAGACTGAAGGAAAAAATATTCTTTTTTTGTATTAAGTTCTCTCTTATGTTGCCTTTCAGTAATCCCAAAGGCTCAAAGCATACCAGCTTTATTAACACTTGCACAGAATTTGCCTGGCTGCTGCCTGCCAGTCTTGTGATGCCAAACCATCCACACTAATGAAAATATTTCCATATCCAAGATCACTACTAGAGGCTAACATGAAAAGTAAATGCAACACATTATGAGCAAGAGCCTGTGACTAATCACCCTTTCTTGCCATACCCCCAAACTCGTCTTTAGGGTTGTGTGCAAAGTTTCCCATCTGCCTTGGGCTGCCTTTTTCTCCCAAAGTGCAAACATTACCATTTCATCATCATGCAGCACAGGATGCAATCCTCATTGAAAGAGGGAAATAAGTAAAGTGAAGGCTTCAAAGAAGCAAAAACCACTCTTTGGTAGGTCACGAGGCGTACGTACTCTGAATTCACAGTTTCCTCGTCCGGTGATCTCCGTACTTCAGGCTCTACATCAGCTGCTGCAAATTCAACGTCAATCACTTCAGACTCTACGTCAGTCACTTCAGACTCTATGTCAGTCACTTCAGATTCTACGTCAGTCACTTCAGACTCTATGTCAGTCACTTCAGATTCTACGTCAGTCACTTCAGACTCTATGTCAGTCACTTCAGATTCTACGTCAGTCACATCATCTGCTGTTTCATATTCATCATAACTGCGCAGTACAGGGCTGTCCAACAGTTGCTGGCTTCTTGGTGTAAGGTTTCTCCTTTGTTGTTCATACCCTGTAAGTTAATTTTGGTAAGTCAGATCTATCATTTACTCTCTCTTTTTCCCTGGAACTGTCATGGTTTGCAATCCCCAAAATCCAGTTCTCTAGTCCAAGCCCCCCCTCCCTCATCTCAACCCAGTGTGAGATGGGTTTTCCAGACACCACACAAGACTCAAAATGGGGGAAAGGGTTATATATTACAATGACTGTACAAATATAAATACTACAATACATTACACAATCTTAACTATCTCTACCATGACAAAATAGTATTTACTTCCTTCAAACGTGTTATTATAAATAGTTTGTAATGGCTCCTATTTGAAATGGACACTATTCAGCTGGGTTACAAGCAATCTCAAACAAAGTAGTTTCCTAAATATTAAGGCTGAATCCTTCCACACATTGAGACTATTCTGCTACGGAAACAAAACATTTGCTATAATCACCCTATGAACAGTTAAAACGTGACCTGAGAGATTCTCAGTGTCCACGGAGATACACTACCTGTGAATAAATCTGCCCTATAAAGGGAAGGTCCCTCACACTATTCTTACTAATACGGTCTGCTGTGATCCTGTGGTAAGGAATGGCAACAATTGCTGTGTGATAGGGGAAAGAGGACTGCAGTCAAGTTTCCAAGGAGCATGGTGACGTAGCACATACACAAGAAAAAGGCTTGGCAAAACACAGAGTGCTTTGTTCTGAAAGTTTCAGAAGGGATGGAAGAAATGCTTAAATCTAAAACTGTACATTCTGGAGCTGCTGTGCTTCCTTGTTGCTGTATGATGCTAAACTGCTGCCCTCTTTTTGTCTGTGTAAAATGAAACCTCCCCACCCAAAGGCACTTTCTATCAAGAGAGTCTTATTAAGTACAGTCCTTGGAAATTATAAAAAGACTTGAGGCAGTGTCTCCCTAGAAATTGCCATCATCTTCCTCCTCAGTTAAGGTAACTTGAAAATGGAGTTTTATCACCCAAGTTCAAAGGAGATCAATTTTTAGTGGCCTAGTCTGTAACATCTGAAGGATCAAGACCTGCTGTTCGCTTTTTAATTCTCAGAAACCGCATGCAACAATGATCTCTGCAACTCCAGTGTCCATGTAACAATAATCAAGCACTAATCAATTAAAATTACAGAAAATGTCACCAAATTAAAATTCTTTCCTGCAAGAGTATTCAGCTACAACTTCTGTTGCAGGGATATTCCACTGTGTCTCATAGCAGCTAGCAGACACAAATGGGATCCATTCTCTAAGACATTAGCCAGAGGCTTTAGCACTGTCCTTTGCCTTTTGCTAAATGCAGTTTCAATCCCTGGTACTAGAGATTGTTGGAAAAGACAAAAAAAAAATAATGATTACATTTAGGACAATTCCATTAGCAAGTGGAAAAAGTCAACTCACCTTCAAGAAGCTTCAGCAACGCATATGGGAAGGGAGAGAAAAGAAAATACAATTAGAATCTGGTGTGCATGCCTGGTATTCCATACTAACACCAGCTCAGTGAAGCAGTTACAAGAGAACAGGTAAAGAATGGTAGGTTATAGACTTCTTATTTTGGTTAAGAACGTTGAAAGTAATAGTCAGTTAGTTGTTGCCCTGAAAACAAGCAAGAGGGTGCTGATAGTTCTGCTCCCACTGATGGAATGGGATAAAATCAGAGACAGATTAAAAACATCTGAACACCCTTGTGCCACCTCCTCTGTTTCAGATCTCTAATTGGATTTGACCCAGAGGTGTAACTTTCCCTCTTTCTCTACCAAATGGGAAAATTCAGCAGTGATAGCCATAAACACTTCATGTTAGATGAACAGCTGCTGAAGA